ATAAAAAGGTTAGTTGTGCAAATCCCCTTTTTTTTTACAATACTTACAACTTACATTCTATTCAATTTAATTCTATCAAATTCTTTTGTCCAATACCTCTTCTTAGGAATTAAAAGTATATTATCCTTGTTATAGCAAAACCTCTATAAATTAATAATGTTGAGACCAAGAAATTCTATTAATTTATAGAGATATTTTCCTAATTTGGTAAATTTTAAGAAATATTTAGTGCAAATAAACCCTTCAATTCCTCCATTTTTTCAACTCTACCTCCATATCCATAAAATACAAAACAATCATACTAAGTCAAGAATAATACGCAACACAACTCCTGTAATTGGCCAAGAACCCACAAGCATTGCTTTGGAAGTACTAAACCACTTCTCTAGTGTTTGTTTGAGGTCAAAATTTGCTACAATACATTGCCTATGTACAAATGAAGGAGTACTCGGGCTGGGTGTGTGTGGATCGAATGACGGCACGTGAGCTATGGGAAGGAACTCACGATACGGTCGGCTTGAAGATCAACAAAACCCGGTTCGAGGATCTTCAAGGATTTTCGATCTCTAACCTTCATGGCTCGAGAAAACGAAGAGACACGCGAGAAAAGGAAACATTTTTGGTAGTTTATTCAAGCGTGTCCTTTACAATCGAGAGACTTGCCCTTAAATAGACAAGTGATCGAGAAAGTGGGCTTAAAGTTGCCCTAGACACGTGGGTCTTTAAGCTCCACACAAAGGAAAAGCGAGAAAGCGCGTTTTCTAACGGCTCTCTCGGTAAAAACTAAAAGGATCGAAAATTCTCGATAAAAAGGTAAAAGGATCGAGAAATTCTCGGTAAAAAGTGAAATGACCGAGAATTCTTTGAGAAAATAGAAACGGATCGATAAGGATCGATGGAGAAGGCTTTATTGAAGATGGATGCCTTCTTGGAGATAGGATCTTCACTTCCTCGGCTCCGGAGCTTGTCTACTAACGTTTCCAAGTCGTGAGTCGAGTGGGATCGAAGTGGAGATGCATTAGACTTGCTGCTCGTTAAAACCCCTTCGGTAAACCCATTGCGACAAACCCGAAGTTGGGAAAAAGAGTACAGCTCACCTAACGTCTTAGGGATGCCTTCACTCGGACGTGGAGGTGAAGGCACTCGAGCTAAGCTTCCCAAAACTTGTCTTGATCAAAGGTTCCTCGGTGGTGATGCGTTCTATGAACCTTCGGTGAGAATGGTTGAAGCTCGGCTTGTCGAAAGGTTGAACGTTGAAGAAGATCATGAGATGAGCTCGCCTTGCTCCTCTTGATGATCCTTGAAGTCGTCTTGAAGTGTTGAGGCTGAATCGTTGTTGTCGGGATGATCTTTTGTTGAAGACTTTGCCCGAACGGTTGATAGATGCGGCCGGCCGGATGGTGCTCTCGGACGGACGGACGGCGGCCTTGGTGACTCGATGTCCGGGGACACATCATTTGGTGTCAAAATTTGTTAGAATAAACTGCTTATGATTGATTACAAGTGCTAGATATGCATGAAAAGTGTTTAGCGAGCCCGGAGAGAAAGGCATCCTAAATGGCTTAACGAGAGTGTAAGGGATCCAAAAATTGAAAATTTCCTCAATTAAATTATATCCCCCTGTGGATAAGATTAAATGGACTTTTACCGAAAGGATCATACTGAAGGAAGAATTGCGAATAAAAGGAAAGTATTGCCTCACGAAATAGTATAAGGAGAAAAATTCCACCAAGGAGGAAGATAGTGGTAGACGAAGAAGTCGAGGGGAAAACATTAGAAAAATACAGAAATGAGGAATTGGTAGACAATGAAGAAAGTGGACGTTACAAGCAGATGTCAGTTTGGACTCCCAATACCTCAGAACGATCCAAGTTTGCTGGAAATCAACTGGTGGAAATGCTCGGTGGACTCATTCGTAAGCAAAATGAAATGGTTATGTACATGGTTAAATGAATAGAAGCCGCCACCAAAAAACAGGAGAAAGCCAGCCAGAAACAGCGGGAAGCCTTCACGAAGCAGCAGGAAGCTTCAACAAACATCCAACTCACAACAGCAAATGCTTATGAGTTCAACCATGACCGATCTTTCTAAGCTCATTACAGTATTGTCGGACAGGTTTAGGAAGGAAAATAAAGAGAAGAGTAAGAAGACGACAAATGCGGTGAAAAGCAGAAATCTGCTTTGACACTTACGTAATTCCATTTGTTTTACTAAAAACTCTTTATGGACTCTATAATATATGGTAAATTCCCTTTAATAGCACATTGTAAGTTTTCTTTCAAACCTAACACAATTTGTTTTGTTTTTCTTTTCAAACCACATAAGTTTTATTTTTCCAAAAATATTATAACCCTAAACAATTGTTTTTTTAGTGGCAAATTATTTTTTTCAATGTTTTGGATTGACTTTTTATATATATTTTTTATTTTTTTTGGGCAAAGACTTTATATATTTAGGGTTTAGTTTTTAGGGGTAGAGTTTTGAATGTTTAAAACTATAGATTAAGTTTTGTGAGTTTTTAGAAGTGTGAATCATAGCTATTGCATTGGTGTCGTTTATTTCTGTCTTAACGATACTATACCTTCGCCTGTGGACTACATTACATGTCGCATATTCTACATAACCTAATGTCAACAAATCCCAAATAGAAATTTAAACAATTGCATAAAGCATAAGAGTAAATGCTAAAATATAAATACATAGTATTGTAATAATCTAGAAATGCTGAAATATAAGTACACAATATTGTAATAATCTGAAAATGCTGGAACAGTATCCACATGTATAATCTTTGTTGGTTAATCTGGGTCCTTAGCGCATCAGTTTGTTTCCCCAAACATAAGGTTAGAACTTGAAGCTGGTTTTCCTTTGACCTGACGCAACCTCAGAAGTTTCCCACCGCCTTCACCAGAGTTGCTTACAATTTGCTAGGAAATGCAAACAACTCTGTATTTGTCAGGAGCTTTCCCAAACGATGTGTTTTCCTTCCGGAGCCCATTTATGTATTAATGTTTGCTCGTCTTAATTAGAGTTTAAAGTAACAATGGTACTTAACTCCTACTTCAACAGATAACGGCGTGGACCCATGTTAACTAGAAGTGTAAATTTGGAAAGTTGAATATGTTGTGTAGTTACTCATCTCTGTGTCATTATGAGAAAAAATGAGTTAAGCTAAACACGAAATATACTACACTGATATTCGCAAAATCGAACCTACCAGATTCTCCATTAATGTCAAAATGTAGAGCACATAAGGGTTGATTTGGGAAATTTTTGTGGTTTGGTCCAACCAATCCATGCGCTGCCAAACAAATTTATGAGAATACAATGGCTGAAGGAGAAAGATGGTTACTTTAACAAAAAAAATTTAAACAAGTTAATGAAAGACGAGTTTGCAAAGACGTTGATGGTAGCTTTTGTTTTTTCCAGCTGAATTCATTTTTCCATTGGTTTTTCTTCTCATCCCTAATTACAGTAAAACCTCTATAAATTAATAGTGTTGGGACCAAAATATTTTATTAATTTATACTGATATTAATTTATCTATTAATTAATATTTATTATTTTATAGTGTAAATTAATAATTATTAATTTATAACAGTATTTTTAATTTTTCAAAATTTTAAACAGTATGAATTGACACAATTTTACAAAAATAAGACTAATCTTGTAGATATTATAAGTTACAGTAGTTTAAAAATAAATATTATATTTAGAAAATGAGAAATTTGACTATAAACTACAAATATTATAGATAAATTCACTTATACAAATTATATACATAAATTCAAATTTATATTAATAACTTCAATTGTTATATTTCAACATCCTATATAAAAATGAATATGATGCATAATTAAAAATTGAAAACATAAAGAAAATTTGGTTATTTTTATGACTTGTGATGGTATATATCACAAGATTATTGTTTAAAAATATATAATTAAGGTGATCGCTAGGAGGAAATTGATTTCTACAAAAACCAAAAACATATATTAATATATCTACATATATATATATATAGTGATTATTAATTTATGATATTATTGGGACTATATTTTACATAGGAACTTCAAAAAAAAAATTATCTTATTATCTTATCGAATTTGATCAATTTTTACACTGACCCGACTTGAAACTAGCAAAATTATTAATTTATACTATTTATTAATTTATAGAGTATTAAGTTATAGAGGTTTTACTTATATTACTTTGTTCTTCGCAGCTGTATTGGTTTTGGACAGTGAAAATGGTAGATCTAAGGGCTTTGGTTTCGTAACATATGATTCGATTGACGATGCTAATAAAGCAATGCAATCTATGCATAATAAGGTGAAACCAATTTTCCAGCTTCTGTTAGTTGTATATATCATGTCATGAGTCTAATTTCTTTCTTGCTTTTGTTTTCTTTCCATACCATTACTATCTTCCTGAATTTGTGACACAAGTTTCTTGTACACTAGTTAGTATATTCAATTTAGCATTTAGGTTGTAATGCTAGTTGTGAATCTCGTTTGATAAGAAACTTTCTTAGTTGATGAGAACCACTTGAACAAACTCAAAATACGGAATAGAACCATTTGTATTATTGCTTTTGTGTATCTCATTTACCTTAAAACAAAAAGAGAAATGGTTTGGTATTGCATTGCTGCTTCAGAACCAACTGGAGTGTTCTTTCTTTCTTTGCTTGGATTTGTCAACCCGCCATTTATAGAGTTTCCTACTAAAACAGGAAGTTGATGGGCGAATAATTGGAGTGAAACCAGCTGATTCAGGAGGCGGTGGTGGTGGCGGTTTTGCTAGAAGGGGAGGTTATGGTGGTGCTCGTGGGGGATACGGTCGTGGTGGATTTGGCGGTGGTTGCTTTGGGTTTGTTCGTTTAACACCAAGGTTGATTAGTCTGTGGTTTGGTTTTCTCTTCATAAAGACCACTAACTTTTTTGTTATAAAAACGTTCTTGATGTTAGAACAGACCAAGCGGCTAAAGTTAGCAAAAAACATTTGTTGGTTCAATGGTTTCATACAAATAAAAAAGGGGTACAAATTTGGAGATATGAATAACGAGTTTAGGTTGACAAAAAAAATGATAATGGGTTTAGCTATATGAGAATAATCACTATATAGAGCTTTTAGTCCAATGAGTTTAGGAGAGATTCAAACTTGAAGATAAGCCAGTCTGCTTTTGCTGCAACGGCTTCACGAAGCTGAACCCCAGCGTAGCATATGAACAAGTCTGCGCCACCAGGTTTACGTGCCTGCAAGTGAATTACTTTAGTTAATCTGACATTTGACAGTTCATTGTTATCTGTAAATTCTCAGTTAATAAAAGCTTACTTCGAGATCAGTAGCACCATCTCCAATCATCGCCATAGTCTTGTAGAAACGACCCTGGAAAAAAGCAAGTCTCATTGATACAGTGTTTTACTCAACAAGAGATATAAAGATTGCAAACTAATACAAGTTCAATGAACCTTTCGTATTTGTTCCACTGCCTTGGCTTTGCCTCCACTTCTTGATGTAGGTTCATTCTCATCAAATCCCAGAAACTCGCCAGAGTTTCCAAATAGAAGATTGTTGGCAAAGATATTCTCCCGAGGGATGCCAAGAATTGATGCTACAGGCTACATCGAAAAGAAATTCATTCAAAACCTTATCACCATCACTGTAGTAGCAACAGGTCATAGTAAAGAACATGAACAAAAAAGTGAGAGAGATAGAGAGAGTACACTGATCATCTGTCGAAAACCTCCAGATATCAAATAGACATCAATATTATTGGCTCTGAGCTTCTTGACCAACTCTTCAATGCCAGGGGATAACCTACATAAAACAAAGAAATACGCTATAATAATAGATTTCAGAGAGCAATCTGTATATATGCAGAGAATCAAGCAAGCTAGATATTAACCTCTGTTTTGGTCAAAGTCTATTTAAGACAAGAACTTGGGGCCAAATGGAACAAAAAATTCTAGTTCTTTATATGTGAAATGATTTCTTTAAGCAGAGTAAGTCAAGGGGAAGTAGCTCGCATCATACTAGAGAATCAAAATAACAACATTTGCAAGGTGTGAACAAAATCAATACCTTGGGGGTCTCTTTTCGAGATATTCCTCAACTTTCGCAAGAGAAGGCTTGAACAAAGAAAGTCTTGCAGCTAGAGCTTCTTCAAATGGAACAGATCCACCCATACCTCTAAGAAAGCAATACTCAATATGTTTAGGTAAAAAAGCAGAGAAAAATCATCAGAGCTCTAGTATTTGCGTTGAGATGGACCACAAACCTGGCAGTCCATTCAGCAACAGCCTTTCCAGCACCACAAAACTCGGCAAGTTCATCAATACCTTCATCCACACAAACTGTGCTATCCACATCGAAGCATACCGCTTCAACACTTTGCCAAAGATCAAGAATTTCTAGCAATTAAGATAACAAACAACGAACAAGTAGGAACTAAGCTGCAAATCATACAAAATCTATAAACAGAATCCTTAACAGCAGCTCAGATCAACAATGGTACAACAGATTCTAAAATAACGAGAAGTAGTTACCGTTAGAAGGAACAATATTGCCTTCGTAACCCAAAGCTGACAACTCCTGTGGCTGCACAGAAGCAGTCACTGGACGGAGAAATTTGGAATGGTTCACAATCGAAACACGCCCTCCACAAGGATATCTCCTTGATTCAAGGCAGGAAAAATTAGCAAAAATTGATGAGGGCTTTCTACAGGGAACCTGAAGTGGCACAACCCGTGAAGTAGTTAAGGCTTCCATTAAACTTGGAGCTACAAACCACAAGAAAACAAGAGTGCCGTATAAGTCTGACTGTTGCACTTGACCAAAAGAAAGAAACTTTGTCAATCTTAGACATCAAAACACTCTTCAGTAGCAATAGTTATATTCTGTGGTTGAAGATAGCTATAAAAAGACATGCATAGGTCAAGCAAAAATAGATACGTTCATTTTCTCAACATAGTAATTACCCCAACAAAGAAAAACATATCTTTCCGTTTAATGTATCACTATTAAGTCACCGAGCTAGCATTTCAAAAAAGGCTTAACCTAGGCATAATGTATAGACTCTTCTCAGGATAAAAAAATTCACATAACAGAAGTATGTTGCATGAGAATTTTGAAGGGTCAAATCATCTCCATAACAGCACCAAGCTAAATGAACCCCTGATCAGTAGATGAGATTTTTTTACCAAGTTGATTCAAGAGCAGTAAACTTAAGTCAATCAGACAATCACATCATCATGAAAAAATAATCACGAATCCTAAGCTCAGCAGTTGCAGCAGTAAGATAACAAAGTTCCATCACAAGCGAAGAAGACAGTCTATTGTTCCTAGGTATGAAACAAGACGACCCCATTAACAGAGACAATGCCTAGACCGATTAAGCTAAGCTTGTGGTAGAAAACAGAGTATAGAAATCCAAATTAAAGCAGAACAATGTCAATAAGTCATTAGTAGAAATCACTTTATAGCATACTGGTGTAACAAATTACGCAGGAATTATAAACCTCTTTAAAACTGCTGATCTAAACGTGAAGATCGAGACAGTAATTGAAGATCCAAAGCTGCTAATAGAAGAAGCAGCCAAACTCCAAAATCCACGCAATTAAACAAGAAATCCAGGAGCTGGATCGAGTGCGAGATTACCTTAACAAATCGTTCCGGCGGTGAGGACGGCCTGAGAACGAGAGAAATCAAATCGTCGGTGAGATCTTGTGGAGACATTTTATTTGTTTCTTGGACTAAAATCTATTGTGTCATTTGACCACAATCTATATACTCTCTTACCCTTTTATGTTCTAAGTACCCTTGACTTATATTGACTAAATAAAGGACATATTTTGCTCTTTTTATTGATTGATTTAATTTAAATAAAAAAGGAAAAAGAAAATGGACGCGGACCCCACTCCACCACCATCTTCTCTCTTCTTCAACCACGATCCCTCTCAACCATCGGATCCAATCCTCTATCGACGAGCTCCTTCTCCGTTTAACTCCATCGTCTCTCTCATCAACACGAGAAGCAACCCAACAACTGAGGTAATACACTTATTCGTATCCATTGTTAAATTCAAAACTCGTTGGCATGAAGTGGAGTTGTTGTGGATTGTATTTGTTCCCTATTGAACTATTAACATTGTAGATTTGGATTTGATCCGATTTTTCTTATCCTCATTGTCAATTAGGGATATGAGTTGAATTGGGTCGACTATTTTTCATAATGTGTGCATTGTAACAGTTCAATCGAATTGAATAGTAGGAATGTATTCGAAAATCAGTAGTATGCGTTGTAGTACAACTGGTAGAACTTGGTATAACTATTTGGGCACAACTTGGTACAACTATAATGATAAAACTTGTAGTACAAATGGTACTCTTTGGTATAACTTGGTATAACTATGAACACGATAGAGATTATAATGTTAGTTATCCTATTCTATTTCAAGCCACAATGAATAAAAACCATAGAAAAATCATAATATATGATTATGGGGGATATTATGCAACAAGAGAAAATGAACCAAGATGAAATTCAAGAGATAAAGTTCATCAATCTCTTAGAATGGAGACAGATTCTACAGTGGAGAACATGGACGCAGGAAGAAGAAATCTACCATCGCAAGCTGGTTTGAGAGTCAGGGTTCCCGAAGTTGATTGATTGTATTTTGATGTAATATCCTATTTGAACAATTATGTACAACTTGTTTTTGTTATGGTACAACTTGAATAATTTGAATTTGATTTTCGGACTTTCTTAAGTCAACTTGTTTTAATGATATTTAAATTCATATATATTTTTAAATAAAAATCTATATTCTTATATTTAAAAAATATCTAAAGAGTTCACATATAATATGATTCAAAAACACAACATAAAATAAATCAATTTTTTAGTGAAAATAAACTAGCTATGCCGAGTTCGCACAAGTTGTACTATTCTATCCAAGTTGTACATATCGTTGAATCCCCAGAATTTGATTTCGGATTTGAATCTGTTTCTTCATAATCATCTCCACGAGTCCCATTTTCTTCTACGATTGCATCTGTTGCCTTTTCGATTTCACCTACTAGATCTGAATCTTTGTTAAAGCTTGTGTTCTTTGTACGCACCATTCTCTTATCCTTCACACAAAATAAATAACCGTAAATTAACAACATACTTGAGTAATAAACAAAATCAACAACCCCAAATTAAATTAACAAATCGAAAAAACCTAAATCGACAACATCCAAGCGGATCTAACATAAAATATCCAAAGAATCATTGATTTTGACTTACCCAGAATCAAGTTGTCCTTAGTTGTACTCGACGAACTGCTTGTGATTTTTGAATTTTTCAAACACTTAGGATTTGAGAGTTTTATGATTTTTCAATCGATGAGGAAGACAAAAAGGTGAAAGATCCGATGGATATCCAAAAGTGAAATGGGTTTTCGGATTTTATGTGGTTGGATCTGTAATTTTTAGGTTTAGTAAGGGTGGGTAGGTATTTACACCCATTTTCGATTTTTTTAAGTAAATTAATTATTTTTTCTTTTGGTCAAACCCTTATTAGAATAAGGATATAGGTCAAAGGGCATCAAAGATTTTGGTCCAATGGCTTCACTTCTTCTTTTTCCTCACCTTCACCATTTTGATTCTTCGTTAGATCGCAGAGAGATTGTAACCATGGAGTTGATTGATATGAGTTCCAGGGCTGCTTCGATCGGCGTTTCGGTCACCGTCCTCCGTTTCCTCCTCTGTTTCGTGGCCACGATCCCTGTATCCTTCGCTTGGCGAATCGTTCAACACGTGTATGCTGCAGCTTCAGGTGCTTTACTATCTTACCTTTCGTTTGGATTCTCTCTCCAACCTCCACTTCCTTGTTCCGATGACGATCAGCTATGCTTCAATGGCGATTTATAGACCCAAGTGTGGAATCATCACTTTCTTTTTGGGTTTCGCTTATCTTATAGGCTGGTAATAGAATGAGAAAGAAGCTCGAGGAAGATGATTAACATTCGGTTATTTCTCATTAGAGTGTTTGTTGCAGTGAAATGCTCTTTATATAATAGAGCGTTCTGGTTTTACTAAACTGGCTAATAACCATAGTGGAATAGCTGGTACTAAAAATCTCAACTCTTGTTTTGTTTAAGCTCTGAACCAATGCTGAATTTTGAACAAAAGCCTGATTTAATTATGGTGCAATTTGGTGATTTGTGTAGTCATGTGTTTTACATGAGTGGTGATGCTTGAAAAGAAGGAGGAATCGACTCTACTGGTAACTCTTAATCTCCTCATCTTATTTCACTGATGAAGTAGTTGTTGGTGAAATTTTGATTATACTTCCTTTGTTACATTGTCCTAAAAGGGTTGTGAATTGGGTTTATGTATCTGAAACTGACTAAGATGAAAGTTTCTTCCTTTGCCTTTGGATGCTCTTGTTTTTACGAATTAGTGATGGAATATACATTGCTTGTCAAAAGTTTGCTGTTAATTTACCCCCACTATCTGTAGAGATATACAACTTATAAATTACCAAACATTTGCTTTAGAACATATTCTTGATGAAGTGTACCCAATTAACACTTTTCTGCACTTATCTTTTCATATCAACCATCCCGAGATGCACTTATCTTTTTATATCAACCATCCCGAGATGATTCTCTAAAAGATAAGTGTACTTTAGTGATACATATGACAAAAAGAAATTGAAAATCTCCTCGTTTCCAACACCAAAATCCTGATATTGGGTTTTATATTTTTAATTTTAGTTTAGAAGCTTTTATATTAGAGAATTTGTTATCATTACAGTTGTATTTATAAATTTAGTAAAATTATAACTGTAGTTTTAGATTTTAGATTTTAAATTTTTAAATTAAAATTAAAAATTTTAATTTTAAATGTAATACACTGAAAAATCGTAATTTCAATTTTTATATTTTAATTTTTAAATTATAATTGTAATCATTTATTGTGACTCATTTTGTGGAGAAAATAAAAACATGGTATTAAAACGACGTCGTTTGCCGTTCATAATGTCACCACACTCTCATGTTATAAGTCATCTGACACGTGTCATCTGAGTCAGCATCTCAATGTGACATATGCCATATGAGTCATCTGTTAATGTGAAGTACGAAATTGGCATTATTTGTACTAATTGAGTATGAAATTTGAATTTTGTTTGAGTTTGGTACCAAATGGGATAAGAACCGACAACCATTGCTTTGAGACAGTAAATGGCTTGTATAAAGTTATTTTGTGTTAGAATATGTTATAATACAATGGATATTATTGATTATAAATGCTAGAGATGCATGAAGAATGTTTAGAAGTGTAAAGAACGACTTGTTGAAATTTGGTCCCAAATGGGATAAGAACCCACAACCATTGCTTTGAGGCAAAAATTGGCTTGTCTAGAGTTGTTTTGGGTTAGAATATGTAATAATACTATGAATTTGATTGATTACAACTGCTAGAGATGGATGAAGAATGTTTAGAACTGTGAAGAAAGACTTGTTGAAATTTGGACCCAAATGGGATAAGAACCCACAACCATTGCTTTGAGGCAGTAAATGGCTTGTATAAGGTTATTTTGAGTTACAATATATTATAATACAATGAATTTGATTGATTACAAGTGCTAGAGATGGATGAAGAATATTTTGAAATGTGAAGAAAGACTTGTTAAAATATGGTCCCAAATTGGATAAGAACCGACAATCATTGCATTGAGGCAATAAATGGCTTGTATAAAACTATTTTGGGGTAGAATATGATATAATACTATAAATTTTATTGATTGTAAGTGCTAGATTTGGATTAAAAATGTTTAGAAGTGTGAAGAAAGACTTTTTGAAATTTGGTCCAAAATCGGATAAGAACCCACAACCATTGCTTTGAGGCAAAAAATGGCTTGTATAAAGTTATTTTGGGGTAGAATATGATATAATACTATGAATTTCATTGATTACAAGTGCTACAGATAGATGAAGAATGTTAAAATTTTGAAAAAGACTTTTTGAAATTTGGTCCCAAATGAGATAAGAACCCACAACCATAGCTTTGAGGCAGTAAATGGCTTGTATAAAGTTATTTTCGGTTAGCATATGAAATAATACTATGAATTTGATTGATTACAAGTGCTAGAGATGGATGAAGAATGTTTAGAAATGTGAAGAAAGACTTGTTAAAATTTGGTCCCAAATTGGATAAGAACCGACAATCATTGCTTTGAGGCAATAAATGGCTTGTCTAGAGTTGTTTTAGTTTAGAATATGTAATAATACAATGCATTTTATTGATTACAAATTCTAGAGATGGATGAAGAATGTTTAGAATTGTGAAGAAAGACTTGTTGAAATTCGGTCCCAAATGGGAGAAGAACCCACAACCATTGGTTTGAAGCAGTAAATGGCTTGTATAAAGTTATTTTGGGTTAGAATATGTTTTAATACGATGAAGTTGATTGATTATAAGTATCAGAGATGCATGAAGAATGTTTAGAAGTGTGAAAAAGACTTGTTGAAATTTGGTCCCAAATAAGATAAGAACCTACAACCATTGCTTTGAGGCAGTAAATGGTTTGTATAAAGTTATTTTGGGTTAGATTATGTTTTAATACAATCAATTTGAATGATTAAAATTGCTAGAGATGGATGAAGAATGTTTAGAAGCGTGAAGAAAGACTTGTTGAAATTTGGTCCCAAATGTGATAAGAATCCACAACCATTGCTTTGAGGCAGTAAATGGCTTGTCTAGAGTTGTT